TTCTTTGAGATATCTCCATATTGAATTTCATAGTGGTTGCACCAGTCTGCACTCCTACCAACTATGGAGAAGTGTTCTTTTCTCCCAACAACCCTGCCAGCATTTGCTATTGGTTGATTTCTTGATAGCAGCCATTCTTTCTGGGGTGAGGTGGAATCTCAGTGTTATTTTCATCTGCATCTGTCAAATGACCAGTGATGTGGAACATTTTTTCATATGTTTATTTGCTATTTCTACCTTGTTGTCTGAGAAATGTCTATTCATTTCAGATGACTATTTTTGAATTGGGTCTTTATATTTGGGGGGCCTAATTTTTTGAGTTCTTTATATATACTAGATAGTAGTCCTTTGTCTGAGGAGCAGCTGATAAAATTTTTTCCCACATTGTAGGTTTTCTCTTAGCTCTGTTGGTGGGTTCTTTTGCAGTGCAGAAGCTTTTAAATATAATGAGATAGCAGTTGTTGATTCTTTGCTGAGGATTTGTTCATAAAGTCTTTTCCTATGCCAATGTCTTCAAGAGTTCTGCCTAACTTATCTTCCAGGAAGTTGAATTTTGTTTTAATATTTAGATCTTTAATCCACTTGGATTTTAGTTTAATGCATGGTGAAAGGTAAGGGTCTAGTTTTAATCTTTGGCAAGTTGAGATACAGTTTTTCCAACATATTTTATTAAAGAGGCTATCTTTCCTCCAGTAAGGATAGTTGGCTTCTTTTTTAAAGACGAGGTAGCTGAGTACATCTGGAGTTGTTTCTGTATCTTCCAATCTGTTCCATTGATCATCAGGTCTTTGAGAAAACTGAAGTGTAAATGTGTCCTTAGAAAAGTCTTTGCAAAGAAGGGCCACATGTTATCACAAGAGAAACAAAGGAATTACATAACTAGTGTCGTTCTTGAACCTTCTTTCCCTAAACCAGCATCAGTGTCTAGAGGCTGATGAGGTGTGTCTTCCATTGAATTGAGATTTTGTAATATATTTTGATTTTTTAGGTCTCATTTGGATTTTTTACATTTATATCAGGAATAAGAAAGTAATTGCTTTTGAAATGAAGGTTTCCAAAGCTATGGACATCCAGCATCCTTATTAAGGCTTGTCAAGTTAATGAGGGAAGTGATTGCCTATTTTAGATGGACTATTTTTAAACATTTGGTGTTTTTCTTTAGTTTATAACATCATTCAAATACCTACATTAACTCATTGTTAAAAAATTCAGTTTTCTAAAAAAAAAGGTAAAATACAAAAATGTTTTTTGTTGGTTTTTTTTGTACCAGGAATCAAACTCAGGACCTTGAATTTGCTAGGCAGGCACGGTGCCACTGAACTACATCCCTGGCCCCTACAAGTAGTTTTGATGCTAATCTAGAGAGAATTGTATCCTCTCTAGAGAGGAAAAATTAGAGGTGTCAATCTAGCTCAGTCTAATTTTAAGGAAAATGTAAATTAATATGTATATTAAGTATAATAAGAACTCGCACTTTAAAGAAAGATCGAAGTAGACTGACAAAGAATTTGAAATCTTTGTGCACAGTGAATTTAATCTGATTAGTTTCAAAATATAATTAGATCTTCAGTTTTGAAATATGACTAGATTTTAAACAGTAATAAAGGTAAGGAATAAAATTCCAAAGTAAAAGATAATTCAGAATTATAAAAGTGTTGGTTTATATTGTAAAGAAAAAATTAATCATGGTTTAGACTTAGATCCTGAATATTCATGGAGCTATAAGATTAAACTGTCTTTACCCTGAATGACTGGTGCTATAAAGCCTTCCTGGTTCCAAGTGGTACTGCTAGATTATGTTCCCTGAATGGTGTGTAGAAATAGTGAATTAACCAACAAATTTGCATTTAGATAAGTGTATTTAACATTTTTTAAAATATTGCATGTTGCCATTTTAAATATACTTATTATATTATATTTAAAAGGCTAATTTCCAAACTTATTGGTCTGATATTATATTTTATTAGACAATTTCACCTTGTTAATGATTTAAATTGTAAAAACATGCTGATTTTTAAATATATTTAAGGTCAATGATCTATTCTAGTTTTATTGTGCTTCCTGTGATTATAGTTATACTATTTTAGCATGATCTTTCTAGTATATTTTATGTATGTTATCATTGAAGAGCATCCATAAGAACACTGCTAATTTAAAATTTCCCACTGCAGAGGTTATTCAAAAGCATTTTACTTTGTCAGTAGATTTGAGAGTATCTGTTATTGTCAAAAGACACTATTACCCATTTAGCTGGGGCCATCTATATATTTTAAATATCATGTGTGAAATCTGTATTGTTAATGTAACCTTGTAATGATTGATTTTTGTATTTCTCTGAAGTCACGCAAAGGTTACTAAAGTCAAATGCAAGTAAAAAGTAAAAGGTGGAGGAGAGGGTGGCAATTATCACACAACTGAAAAGTTTAGGGCTTAATTTCAGGGACGGTTGGATCTGGATGCAAAAACTTAATCAGGTCTTTCTGTATTACTTGGCTCTGCTGGTTTCAGCTTGATTTCAGTCTCAAGCAAGCTCTCTCTGAGTAGAGACCAAGTTGAAACACACAGGCTTTGCAGAGGGAAGGTTGATAACCCATAGGATTGGCGGTTTCCTCCACAGAGCAGAAGCTATAGGAGGTGTGAACTGACAGAAAAGTTAGGGTTACCACAACGATGCTATCAGTGACCCTAGACATGATGAATTCCATTTCTGAAATTGTTTTGTTTGGCTTTTGTCTTCTTTCACACATTTCTCTTTCTGCATTGCAACCTATGACCCTTACTTCAAAACCCAGCATTCTCATTTATTATTTTTATTATTATTTTGTTAACTCTGATGGCTGTAGACTGTAGACCCTGAAACTTCATGTAATCCTACCTTAGCAGTAATGAATAAACTCCTTTAGTCAACTTCTTCATACTCTTCTCAGTGTCTGACTTTAGCTTAGTAAATTAAATTTTCTGAGCCTTAATTAAGCCATTTACAATGTGGATCATGTGCAATATTAGTCAAGGTTCTCCAGATCTGCAAAATGCAAGCTAAATACACAGGAAAGCACATTGAATAGTTTTGTGTGCGTCTGAAGTCCTGAGAACTAGGCAGGCAGATGGCATAAGGCTCAATATGGCCTATCTCAAGCTGTCAGGCAGAATGGGTGCCTTTTCCTTTCCTCCTCTACCTTCTGTTCAATTCTTGCCCTCAAGTCAATGAGTCTTGCCCACTCCACACTTCAAAGACTGTTTTGCTGTTTACAAATTCATATGTTTATCTCAACCAGAAGCCTCACAAACACACCTGCCTCATCAAATAACCATCCACTCTGTGGTCTAATAAAACTGACACATAAAATTAACCACCAGGCATATTAATATCATTTATTACCAGTAAAATTATTACCATTCATATTTTAAATCATTTATACTGTCAATGTATTAATGAGTCAAAATTACTTCTGCTATGAAGTTTCAGTTTAGCAGATATTAAAGCTTCATGTAAATTTTATCACACTACACGAATATAAAACATTATTAGATAGCCTCCAATCCATATAAAATGTCTCCTATGAGATTTACTTAGTTTATGTTGACAAACATAAAAAAAAAAACAAATTCATAGAGATTAAATGATGAAATGGGTTTTATGTGTCTCATGTCAGAGGGTCTTCTATTTTTAAATTTGGTGTTATTTGGGCATAATGATACACACCTATAACCCCAGTGTTCTGGGAAGCTGAGTCAGGAAGAGAGTGAGTTCAAGCTCAGCCTCAGCAATTTAGTGAATTAGAAAGATCTCGTCTCAAAATAAACAATATAAAGGGCTCAGTGTGAAAGTTATGGTTTCCATCCCTAGTACAGCAAAACAAAAACAAACAAACTTTTGGTGTCAAGAAATGCAATGTCTTACTAATAATTTCTTACTGATATTGTAACAATATCCTCATAAGTACTCATTCTATAGAAAGAGGAGATAAATTCGAAGCCAAATATCCTCTGTTTATTGCTAGCTTTGACATTGGGAAAGTTATTTAACCAGTTTATTGTACAGTATATGTGATGAAGGCTTAGAATAGTGCCTGACATATAATATTTACATAGTAAGTAATTGTAGAATGGATATTACTCTGTGGCACAGTGCCAAATGTATAATGATGTGTGATAAAGACTTATATGCATATTTGCGTGTTACCTCTGCTCTCGAATGTGTGAATATACATGACAACCAGAACTCTAAGAAGGCCATCAATTTTCTGTGTGTGAAAATGAACTGTTAAATACTTTAAACCTCAAACATTTAATGATTTTTACATTGAATTTACATTTTTCCATTTAATTGTCCTTGCTTTAAATTTCTCATGCCTGGATAAAATATTGAGACAGAAAAAATACTAAAATTAATGTATCATTAGGAAGGACCAGATTTTCTTTCTCTAAACCAAAATCAAATGCCATCTGAAGATTTGTACATAATCTATAAGCTTACTTAATTCATCTTATAATATTTGTAACATTTTGAACATTTGTAACATTTTGAACAGTCCTTGTTGCAAAACTTAATTAAATCTATCTATCCTTCTCTTTCTGTGTCTGCCCAAAGAGTACTAACACAGTTAGACTGACTCAGGTCTGGGGTTATATCTCTCTCTAATAATATGTGATTCCATGATTCTCTTGTTAAATGAATTACAAATTATTTCTTCTTTGAAGATATAAATATTGAGCAGAAACAGTAATTGCTCTTGCACAGCTAAGTTCAATAAAACCTTCTGCAGAGACAGAAATATTCCACATGGCTCTTGAGCCCTCGAAGTGTAACTAGTGTGACTGAGGAAATGAATTTTTAATTTTATTAGAATTAATTTTGATTTAAATTAAAATAGCCACAGCTCTAGAGTTATCAATTCATAAATAAGATTTGTGAGGGTTGGTTGGAACTAAAGTACAACATAAAATTTATCAGCTTGGGCAATGCCTTTAAAAGTAGCAATGTCGCCCTCTCTTTTCAGTCTCCTGCACACAGTTACTCAAGCTATGACTCTGGCAAAAATGAGAGTGTAGACAGAGGCGCTGAGGACCTGTCACTCAACAGGGGGGACGAGGATGAAGATGACCACGATGACCATGACGATTCTGAAAAAGTTAACGAGACAGATGGCGTTGAAGCAGAAAGGCTGAAAGCTTTTAATGTGAGTCCTGCCACACTCCCTGTATGGTTCAGTTTTTACCACTTGACTTCATGTTGTTGCTTGATGGTCAATGTGTATATTTTAGAGACATGTTTGTTTGATTTACAGAAGGATTTAAAAAGTACATGAAACTCTCTTTGCCAACTAGACACCAGAATTGCTGTGCTTTGTTTAGAATTTTAAAGCTAAATGTGAGCTGAAAACTGGAATGGTGTTGTGTGAGTATGCATGTCTACATAGCAGATAAAGGGGCTCAGCTTATTTCTCGGATGAGTACGCCTGTCCCTCACCAGTTACTCAGTTATTTCTTTTGCTTTCCTAGCTTATCTAATTATGCATGACACAGTCAATTGTTTGTTTTCAGAGATTAGTCCACTGTGCAGTGTAGCAATATATCAGTCGTATTTATCATTAACAGAGAATTTAATGGGAGGCTCAATTGTCACAATGTACTGTTATCTCCTGATTTTTTTCTACATGGTAGTCTATTCTTTCTGTCTGTGTGTCTGTCTGCTTTTTCTCTCTCTTCTTCTCTCTCTATTTTTTAATCCAACCATTTAGAAAATCTTAAAAGAGTATTTGCTTAAAATTTCTGGCTTCCCATTTCAAAGTTCTCCAGTGCGTAAACCAGGAAAGAATATTTTTCCAATCGGTAATCAAGACAGGAAGCTAGGAACAGAAGACAGCAGCCCTCCAAACCCTTCTCCTCTGTCTCCCTCTTGCCAACAGATGTTTGTCAGGCTGTTTGTAGATGAAAACTTGGACCGAATGGTCCCAATCTCTAAGCAGCCCAAAGAAAAGATCCAGGCTATCATTGACTCATGCAGGAGACAATTCCCTGAGTATCAAGAGCGTGCCAGAAAACGCATACGTACTTACCTCAAGTCCTGCAGGCGGATGAAAAGAAGTGGTTTTGAGATGGTGAGTTTTGAATCAAAACACAGCCCTAGATTCCATCCAAATCCCACATGTAAACCATGACACTATTTTTTTTTCATCTTAGTGTCTTTTTTTTGTTTTTTGTTTTTTGTTTTTTCTTCCATAATGTCAGGTCAAAGGGTTTTTTTGTTCACTTGTTTGTTTTTTCCCCTTCTCCTTTTCATCTCCCTGAAGTATTTCTTGCCTTTGTTTATTTAATAAAGAATATCTTGGGAGATCAGTGCTCACAGAACCACGTGGTACCATGTCACAGAAAATGAGGATGTTCCGAGTAAAACCTAGGGAGAACCAGCATCTTGTTCATGTTTTTGTTTTTTTTTTTCCCCTTCACTACTAAAGTGGATCTGAGGTTGACCAAGGCTTGAGCTGAAGCATCAATTGTTGCTTTGGATGATATGAGAATGGCTTTCTCTGAAATGAGAGGGAATGAATGGATGGATCAATCTGAAAAATACCATTTTCAAACCAACAATTAACAAATAACAGTTCAGAGTGTGAAAATGCTCAGACGAAAAGAAGGCTTTGTTGGGCTGGGAAATTTATTTGTGGGCTTCTTGATGGTACCATGAGATTTAGTATTCACTGGGGCTTGGTAGATGGATGAGATTATGTTGTTAGAGGTTACTTGTGGGGTGGAAATTAGGAATCCATGGTTTTTGAACTTCATTCTATTTTACCTTGCTCCAAATTTACAATGAATGTTTTACTTTTACTTTTAATTTTTCTGTGTGTGTGAATGGAAATGTAGTAGGGATTTTTCTGAACCCCCCCTTTTTTGCTACTCTTATCTGAGAAGACTGCATAAAAGCCTGAACTGTGTTTAAAATATGTACCTCTAGTTTATTAGTGTCATGGGATAGGAGTTGCCACAGATAAGCAAGGTTTTAGAGTATCTTATCTATAAGAATTTTAGAGATGTAGTCCAGAGAAATTAATGACAGGCATAACATTTCCTCTCTGTATGATAAATTCCCCACATTGGCTTATAAAAATATCTTAATTTTTAAAGAAAAATGACTGTAATTTAAAGAACAGACAGTCTTTGCACATGGTCAGAGTATGTGCGCTGTTCTCTGGGAACTTGGCAGCCAGGTCTGGGTCCACCACCTTCCTGCCAGCCTATCTGGGTGAGTTACTTCCGGTGTGCTCAGCCTCCTCCACTGGAGAGGACCCCAATTTTTAACATTTGCAGCTATGAGAATTACAGAAGTTGCTTCACCTCTGCATGCCATTTCTGGAAAACACTAAGCATTCAATAAACCTTGGCCCTAAAAATATTATCAAATATAATTTAATTCATCATCTGAAAAAAGTTTCTAAAGTGTGGTTTTATTTGGGCCACTCCAATTAATGGTTTGCTTACTTCTTAGGACACCTACGTTGGAATTGGAGTTTATGGTCTATATGGATCATTTTACAGCAAAAATGGTATAACTTGGTAATAAATACAACAATAGAAGTGGTATAAGGTAAGAGAGAATGAGGGATTACTTGAAGAAATTGAAGCTATTACCCCTATTATAAAATTGTTGAAATATCACCATGCTCTGTAAAATACTAGTCAGGTGATAGATGAAAAGACACCTAGCCAAAAGCTAAAACCCAGAAACTAACAGTGGCATCAGGTTCAGGGTCACTTAACAGTGACATAAAATCCCAATGGAAACTAAGTACATCTCTGAAAACAGTGCACTATAAATACTCATTCTCTCCCAGTGACAATAAAGGTAAGGACATCATTCCTCATATTTTTACCTGTATCAGCCTCTAGCATTACTATTTTTCTAACATTTTAATGATATTTAGAGATTCTTTGTTAATACTTTCCTTATTTTTATATGTAAAATTTTTATATTAATAGTTCTTTTTAAAACTTCACTATGCAGAATTCTTAACTTCTTTTAAATATATTCAGACATTTAGTAATTTTTAAAAATTAATTGACATTTGAATAGTTGTATTTATTCATTTTAATATGGCATCTATTTGGTATAAACTGTGCTATATATGGAAAACAAAAAGTCAAGAAGTTTTACAACTTGATCTTGAAGTAACTCTTCTGTAGAGCAATTATATAGGATTTAACTTTCAATAATTTTTATTCATTTGTTTATTTCATACATATATGGTACACATTACATTATACAAAAATAAGGGCAAATTCATGTCCAGTTTGTTAATTAGGAGTAAAACATTTTCTACATCATTGTGATATGTTGAGGGGACAAGTTATATGAAGTAAAATGCTTAAGTAGTGACAGAAGACCCTATGTAAAAATTTTAAATGAATTTCTTGGTTATAAATGGTATTACATTTAGTGCATTTTTGTTTCATATGTTACTCACTAATGTACCATTGGAAAAAAATTGAATCCACTATGTAGTAGACATGTAATAGCTTTCTATCACAATGACAAAACACCTGAAGTTATCAGCAGGAAAAGTTTGGTTGGCTCAAAGTTTTGGAGATTTCAGTCCATGGGCAGTTGGCCCTGTTGCTGTTGGGCCTGTGGTGAGGCATCACATTATGGTAGAAAGCATATGACAGAACAAAGCAGCTCATCTCATGACAGCTGGGAGGCAATGGGAGAAAGAGGAGGGCCCACATCCCAAGATCCTCCAGAAGTCCACACCCCTCTAACACAACGTCCTCTGACTAGCCACTCCCTTTAAAGGTCCTACCACCTCGACTGCACTATAGGCTGAGGACCGAGCCTTCAACACATGGGCTTTTAAGATCACTTAAAAAGCACAGAAACACAGTTGAAATTTTAAATGTTTTTGTATATTGTTTTATTGACAGGGAACATATATAGGATTTGTGTCATTTTGACATCCATCTTTACCCAGAATAGCTAGAAAGAGGCATGAAAGTAGTAATCACAACTAAACTTTTTACATGAATAATTATGTCCCCTATTTTATTTTATTTTTTTGGTATAGGGAACCGAATTCTGGACGTTGCCCTTGTGAGGCAGGCGGCAGAACTACTGAGCCAAATCCCCAGCCAGCTTGTCCCCATCATTTTTAAGTTTAATATGAGATAATGTACACAGGACAATTTTTCAAGTTGAAACATTAAACAAAAATCTTCTATTGTGTTTTGTATAGGTAAATGTGAAGAAAATGTATAATTTAAAATGCATGATTACTTTTGCATGTAATTATTCAACAATGTATAACAAGTCAACGAAGACCTTTATGAAATTTGTATAATACATAACTGTAAAAATGCAGTCTTAAGAGGCAATTCTCTATTGTAAAGTGGATCTAGCATTCTTTCACAAGCTCAGCTCTTCGTTACTTAGTTACTATAGTCAGAAGATCCCACAAGTAGAATGAAATATAAAAATATAAAATTATATGCTTCTGACTTTAAGAAATGCAAAGGATTATTCCCCTAGATGTAGTTTAACACAATATATAGCTGTAATAAACTTGAGAATCTTAGCATTTACTTTGACTACATTTCTTCCATTGTTAATACAAAATCTGTTTGTGTTTAATTATTTTACACTATCCCTGAATGAATTTCCATGCCAGTGCAAATATTTCTAATTGGCTTCACTGGATGCATACAAATCTTAGGTTATATATTTATACATATTTATTTCATTGAAATTGTCAAGTCCTTCGCAGGTCTTCATTGCTTAAGCAGCAAAAGTTTCTGTCATGCTCCAGTCTTTATATACATGAAGTAGAATAACTAGAATGATTCTTTTCTAAACATTTTCACCAATTCTCTATTACCAATCATCTCAAATTTAAAACAAGTCTTCACTGTTGTTAGTAAAAGGGCAAGTTTAAAGAAAAATAAATCTAGTAACTTAGATTCAGAATGCCGTCAGAGTTTTCACTGAATTGTGAACTTATGAATTGTGAAGCCATTAAATTAAACCTTGAGTAAATATGGTATATTAAGTTTTTATTGATTCTGTTGTATAGCTTTGACTCTCAAGTTACTTCAGGTACTTCTCTGAAGAATAGTTGTTCATTGTTCAAAAAATACATTTCTCCAAGGTGCCCTTATCTTTAATTCAATAAAAAATATAACAGAAGCAATGATTTATGAATAAGGTAGAGTTGGTCCCTACTGAGTATCATTTCTTTTATGTAATGAGGTTTCTTGCTTTTATTTCCTCAAATTGCATAGAGACTCTTTCATGACTTTGCATTTGTTTCCATATATTTCTGTAAAACTTAAATCAAGATATTTAGGGGTGATATAGACTAAGAGGTTTCTAGTCCATTATTTCTTTCATGTCCCAAATTTTGCCATGTACCTAGTTAGGTCAAGTAGCCTAGGTATTTGAATTCAATAACTTCAACTTCTTGAAAATTTCCTAGTTGGTTGTTTTAAATAGTATGTGGTTGACTAATTTGGTTTATATAAAGCCTCATGCAGTTTTTATAAGTTGGCCAAGGACACTGTCCCTTAGGCTATGAAATATCCAGTGGAGAAGACTTTGTTTTAGAGACTTCTTTCAAAATTTAATGCAAGAAAAAATTTATTTCTCATGAGAAAATAGTGTTTTTTTTATCAGTTCTCCCCACTAGGAGCGCACAACTCTGCCTTTCTATGCAAGTTTAGAGCCAAACTTTTTCCAAGGTCACTATTGTCTTTCTAATCATCTTGGTGTACTTATTTTCACGGTGGATCTGACATTTATTTTAAAGAAGAAAGTAAAACATAACTTTTAAATAAGGAAATATTCTAGTTCCAGAAACACCAGAAAAAAATGTCTTTCATTTTAAAGAAATCATATATCTTTCAGAGGATTTGACTTCTCACAGTATTTATCTTTACTTGTCTAATGCTGCTCACAGTAGAGTTCAGAACTCATTTTTAATTCACAGCTTCCCTGATATTACAAGCACTTCAACAACTAAATATGCAGTGACACGAAATATGCATTAACAATTAGAGATATAAAAATGAAGAAATTAAAGTGCTTTTGTAAGCTGAAAATTCTATCAGAAGT